CCCCCCCCGCCCCTCCCCACCTCCCCACGGGTCAGGTTCTTCCCGGAGGGCTCGGCCCGCGCCCACCACGTGGCTCCGCACCGGGAGGGGCCGCCAGAGACACCCGCACCCCTCCTCTGCGGCCCTCCTCCCAGAGGGGAGCGGCCCACGCGTGTCTCTTGGGGAGAGTCTCGGAGACACGCCCACCATCGAGGCTGGAGGTGATGAGGTGGGGCTCGGACGCTGGCCACGCCCTTCTTTCGGGGTGATCACGCCCCTACGCGTGGTTCCCTGGCTGCTCTGGTAGCTCCACCCCACGGGTTTCCCCGCGCGGCCCACGCTGGGGCTGGTGTCTGGTGTCTGGTTGATAGTGCCGCCTGCTGGAGTTGGGATATTTCTTTCTTTCTTTTCAAAAAAGGGTTGTTAACATTTATTTATTTTGCGTATGTGTGTGTATGCCTGTGCCGTAGTGCAGGATGTGGAGGTCAGAGAATAATTTTCAGTGGTCGGTTCTCGCCTTCCACTTTGTGGGTCCCCAGGATCGAACTCAGTTCTTCAGTCTTGGCAGTAAGGGCCTCTATCTACTGAGCCATCTAGCCAGCCCTCATGTCTCTGTTTTTGAATTTTACATTACTATCCTACGGTTATGGCAAAGTGACGCAGAGTGCATGGTTTGAACAGTTCTGGGATCTAGAAATCCGAGCTCAAGGTTAGACCCCCAACTCAGGGCTTAGGTCCCTCTGAAGGCTGTGAAGAAGAGTCTTCCATGCTATCCTCCAGCTTCTAAGTGGGTTGCTAGTGGCCTCTGGCATTCCTTGGCTTGTGGGTGCATTGCCCTTGGTCTTGGTTTCCATGTTCATGTGAGTTCTTCCTGAGTCTCTGCAGATACGCCAATCCCCCCCCCTTTTTTTTTTATGAGATCACTACTCATAACTGGATTAAAAGTCTGCCATACTCCAACCTTATCTTATCTTACTTAACTGCATCAGCAAGGCCACTTTCTAAATGCTGGGAGATTAAGACTTCAACGTGTGAATTTGGGGGCAGCACACTTCAACCTACAACAGGTATCTTTTGCTAGAGTTGTAGAATCTCTGAGTTTCTAAATCTCTAGAGTTTCCCCATCTCTGCTTAAGAACATTCCCAGATTCCATTCTATACAATGGAGTGCAAAATCTGGTCATGTGCGATGGCTGCACAAACTGAACCCACCTGCTTCCCGGTGTGACATTGCTCACACTCCACAGTACAGCTGACCACACCACCCCCACTCTGGAAGGCTCACCATGGAAACTCACACGCCTTGCCTTTCTTTTCTTTTTTTTTTTTTTT